AGCTCTCATGCCTTAAGTCACTCTTTGTAGACAATGAATGAACTTCTCTCCTACGCAGCTAGAATAATGCCAGTGGTGTACCATCCTTGGGAGATGGGAGAAAACAGTCATGGATTTCATTTTCTGTAGTAGGGCTTATGACTGTCATGGCCTCCTGGTTGAGAAAGTGTGGGTTAGAGAGGAACAATGTTGGAGGGAGTGCTACTTGGGATCATTTGACCTGGGAAGTTTTCTTGACAGTAAATTCTTTGAGCACAGACCTGAATTCAGTGAGGGAGGGAGGGCCCTGCAGATGCAAGGTGGAGGTGGGGGATAGAGGTAGGGCAGAGTATGTCAGACAGAGACAAGAGTGGGCTTGGTGTATCTGAGAGACAGTTCGGAAGGCCAATACGTCTGGAGCTGAGTTATGGAGGGATAGAGAGCTGGGTTGCATAAGATCAGAGAAGTGCTGGTAAGGGTGGCCATGATGTGCTGAGACATCCCAGAGATCATTTCTTTGTCCTTTCTTATAGTGGTGTGTACCCCACTTGTAATATAACACTTATTATTTTGAATTGTGATGGCTTACTTAACTTAAAATGAGCTAAAAAACAGGGCTCATGTAGTGTTTTTATTGAATGAATGAGACCTCATTCCTTACCTTATCAGTGCTTCAAGCTACTTGTGTTGTCTTCTAAAAGTTACCTGCACCAGAGTTGGACCACATGGAATTTCCATCTCTGTTATCTTTTTCTTATATCAATTTGGAACTTCCAAATATTTTATTCAGTAAAAATTTTGCTCACTTACATTTATGTTTTCTATTATATGCATGCCATATGGTGTTTCCTTTCATAAACTAGTCTCTGCTTTGTGGCTAAGCTTGCTAATTGTGATATCTCCATCAAAAAAATCAAGTTGTTGGAATGGGTACATGGAGGCTTTGACTATATTAATAATATTTTATTTCTTAAGTCGAGGCAGTATAAAGGTGCATATAACATTTTTATATGCACATGGTTAAAGTCTGAAATATATTATAAAATATAAAAATAATTTTTTATTTATTATATATTATTTATAGTAAATAGAAAGAATGTAAGAAATAGAAAGATATCTGAAAAATATCTAATGTGTTAGGCTAAATCTGTACACAGTTACCCTAAGTGGAAAAGACAGTACCGGTTATTAAACCACGAATACATACATTTTAAATGTTATCCTGACCCTGGCCAGTTTGGCTCAGCAGTTAGAGCACTGTACTGTGGACTGAAAAGTCTCAGGTTCGATTCTGGTCAAGGGCACGTACCTCGGTTGTACATCGATGTTTCTTGCTCTTTCCCTCCCACTCTATCTGAAGAGAAATGAAAAAAATATCCTTGGGTGAGGATTAAAAATAAATAAATAAAATGTTACCCTGGCTGGATTTATATGACAAATGAAAACAAAAATTTTGGGTAATCTATGGGTCTTTATGAATGAAATCAATTAAGTTTAGGGAAGCTATTTATTGCTAGAGAGATAAAAACATAATTAGCAATTATAAAGCAGTCTATGGGGGTCTTGATCATAATGGAGCAATGGGTGAATTTCTGGAGACTCAGCAGTTTATATTTTAACTCTCTTTTCTTTTCAAATATACCTACCCTTGTTAAGCAATTTCTAGGGTGTAATGGAGTGGGGCTGCTTAAGCTAAGTCATGATCTTGATCAGATACTAACATATCCATTTCCTGAGATAGGATAGCCAGGTTATATATGTGAGGCATGTAGGCTGAGAAACAAAAAATGAATGACACCCTGGATGTTCATTTTCAAATTATTCAAGCAAGAATTTCTTTGTTTCCTGTTGCCTCTTTGTGTAATGATGACACTCACAAAGAGAAATATAAATGCTTTTTGTCCTTACTAGAAATTTTAATTGTTCACCCTGGCCGATGTGGCTTAGTTGGTTGAGTGTCATCCCATGCACAGAAAGGTCACCGGTTCGATTCCCAGTGAGGGCACATGCCCAGGTTGCAAGTTCAGGCCTAGTCAGGGTGCGTATTTGAGGCAACCGATTGATGTTTCTCTCTCTCTCCCTTCCTCTCTTTCTAAAATCAATAAAATCATATTTTAAAATTTTAAATTTCTCGTGCTAATTAAAAATCACTGAAAACCATTCCTATCTTACACAGTAGATAAAGGTACAAGTTTACAAGGTGAGAAAAATTTCTCCCCCATTTAAATGCTGTGAAATATATTTTTAAACAGTGTCAGAGCTGGGGGAAAGCTAGTTTTCAGGCTCACATATCAGGCTTCTATATTTCTGATGTGGCAAATAATGTAACTTTTGAGCAAGATGGCTATTGTTGGCAGAGTGTTCTGAGGGGCCCTCATGAATTCAGTTAAAAACTAGGTCATACTTCACTACAGCAAATATCACTCAATAGAAGAATTCTGAGCAACAATATCTTTCCAAGATCCAGACACTGATCACTTTATTTCACAAAATAACAGATATTGGTAAAACTCCAATAAAGAGGATGAGACTTTCTTCAAATTCTTTGAAATAGTCTCACCTCCTTTATTAAGTTAGCATGGCAAACTAAGCTAATAACACAGCTATTTTACTTGAGATTTTGCCTATAGTATCTAGATGTTCTGTATCACAAGGTACAACTTGGACTCAAATTTAACCAATATTGGCTTCTAATTTTTTTTTAGGAGAGGCTAGAGGAGATCGGGCAGGGAAGAGAGGGCAGCTGGGAATCTGCATTTTAACAAGCACTCCAGGTGATTCTGTTACACACTTTGGGAAATAGAGAACAACTTTACAATGCTCAAATAGGAATTGTCTTATAGTTAAGAGGGGCATCAAACAAGTGAAGATATCACCAGAGAGTTTATCCGTTTGGTATGGTTAACAAAAGGTAATAGGTTCTTTATGAAATATTTACTTAATCAACTGGAATTAAACCTAGTCATGGACCTGGCTTTTCAATTTGTTCTACTGAATAGTCTTTGGAGTGTTTATTACCTATGCATTATTTTGGCCTTTAAAAGAAATCTATTCTCACAAATTATGTGGACCCTTTCCTCTGTTTTCAGAATCTTTGTCATTAGTGATTTGTGTTGCAGAAGTGATTTTCCCTTGTTAAAGAATGAGTCCATTGATCTAGCAGCTTGTGCAGATGTTCTCAAGCATGGCTGTCTACAAATCACCTTTAGTTGCCCAAGCCCCTCTCATCACCCCAGTTGGAACCTCCAGGCACAGGACCCCCCCAAATATCTTTCCTTAAAAGCTTTACTGTGCAATGAGGCTGGAGAACCACTGGTTTAATGACAGCAAAAGAAACTTCGAGACTTTCAAACATATTTTTCATGATTAGACATTTCTTTACTCCTGTAATAGTTGTGGTGCCACGTTCAGTGTGTTCCCTGAAGCTCTGAATTTTGTGCTAAGCCACCTCTGGTAGGGATGTGATGAACAATGGCTAAGTGGGCTTCACTTCTGAGGCTGGTGAGGCAGAGAGGCCCAAGACACACTGAAAGGGTTAAGTTTTCTCTAAGGTAGTTTGATAAATAGTTTTATAAATAGTAAGAAAAAATTGCTAGAAGCAGTGTCATGAATCCTGTCTGAAGAGCTGGGGGAAGGTTTTAGAGGATGTAGTGCTTAGACTTTTGAATCACGTTGGCACACTGCTGGGAGTAGTAAGAGCTTGACTATGCTGAACAATAAAGTTTCTAGCTGGCCAGTCTGAAAATACTTAGTTTAGGTCAAGTTTGAGAGATGGCAGAGACTCTGGGCTTCCTGACTTCCAAACTCTGGAATTGCTAACAGGAAGATATCTGGACAATTTTTAAGATCCCTAAGATAGCCTGGTGAGTGTGGCTCAGTGGATTGAAGGCCAGTCCCATGGACTCAGAGGTTCTGGTTTGATTCCAGGTCAGGGAACATGCTGGGATTGTGGGTTTGGTACCCAGTAGGGGGCATGCAGGAGTCAGCCAACTGATGTTTCTCTCTCACATTGATATTTCTATCTCTCTTTTTCTCTCTAAAAAAATCGATAAAAACATATTTTTAAAAATCCCTAAGACAGGTTATTTTACAACTTCTCCGGCTTATGCTTGAATTGTCCAAGATGCTGAGACTGTTATCTTTTTGCTTGTTTCCTGTATGCATCTTCCTGAGTACGCCTGTGTAGTTCTACAGCAGATTGTAAGTTTCCAGAAACCACTTATGTCGCTTCTATCCGGCCACGAGCATATATAGCACAGCGGCACTCAGATGCACGTGCTCCATGCTTTAGGATGACCTAGTGTTCTCTAGAAGGAGCATGCAGCTCCCACTTGTTTCCACACTCCAGCCACCAAATTGGTACAGATTTCTGTCCGGTAGACTAAGGGTCGGTGGTATGAAAATTAAATGCCCAAACTCTGAGCGTTACCAGGACATCCCTTGTTTAATCAGTCACTGGAATGCATTCCATCACTGAAGGAAAATAAAAAGTCTCGAAAAACTTTTATGTAACAGGGAGCAAGAGTTATAACCGTCATTTTCTGACAGGTGCCCTTAAAATCTTGCAGCTCAAAGGATGGTCCTCTGACCAGGAGCATCATCATCATCATCATCTGGAGCTGTTAGAAAGGAATTATCTCTGATCCCCATCCCAGACTTACTGGATAAGAATCCTCCTTTGAACAAGATACCTAGGTAATTTCTATTCACATTTAGAATTTGACATATTAATTAATCTAGTGATTGATCCATCCAGCGCCCCTCAGCCCCTGAAAAAAGAGACTCAGCCCTTTGTGCCTGCCTCGCACCCGCTCCACTGGGTAGCAACCCAACCTCCAGGGACATCGGAGAGGGTGCTGCCGAGGGCAATTTGGTGATTGGCTGCACTGACCATGTGACCGGTGCTGGGCCTCCCGCGCTATCGGATTGGCTCTTGCAGACGCTGACGGACAGGACCCAGTCGGAGGAACGCGCGCGGGGGCGTGAAGGCGCGAGAACGCGAGTGCGCGTGCGCGTGCGGCGGGGCTTTCTCCCGAGCCGTCGGAGGGAGCTGGAGCACTTCTCCCGAGGTAAGCGCCACCGCGGGGCGGCTCCCAGGCTCTCCGCAGCCGGGTGCTGGCGAGTGGGGTGGGTAGGGCAGGGCTGGTGGGGGGCGATCTGGGGTCCGCCCGCCCGGGGGCCCCCGCTTTGGGGAGGATGCAGACCCGGGCTCAGCAGCCCCCCTCGGTGCCTCGATTTCCCTTTTCCTACCCTCTAACGCATCTCCCTGTCCTCCTCACCGCGGAGACGGGTCCGCGCGTGGGGAGCTGCCCACCTCGCAATCTCTCCGCCTTTGTTTCCCGCCGGGAGGGATGCTGGTATCGGCCCCCTCCCCAGGTACAGGGCGAGGGTGGTGGGGCCGGGGCGGCACGGGCGCCGGACCTGGGCTGGGGCCCGGAGAAGATGGCTTGAATGCGGTGGGACCTGCCACGTGAGAGCGGAAAAAAAAAATGTAGTGTCACTTTGGCCAAGCCGCGGGACCGAACTAATCCGGCGGCGGCGAGCGAAGCCGAGTCCCCAGCGCAGCTGTGCGGGCGAACTGGGGCAGGACCGCCGGCCCGGCCCGGGTGCTGCCCCGTGAAAGGCTGCTCTGGACCACGCGAGCGCTCGCCCAGAGTTGCACCGAGATCGAGCGCTTTAAGCCTGCGGACGGAATCTAGATATTCGTTGAGAGACGAAAAAATAAAATTATTATTATTTTCTAAAGCAGTTGGGTACCGGCAGAGTAGGTCTAATTGAGAGGCTACAGAAAGGAATTACAGTTACAGTGAAACTGATGACTGGTCAGTTGTGTAGAGGGAAATGCCTGCAGTGAACTGCAGACCAGACCATCACATGGAGATTCTTCTTCAGGAAGACAGGGGTTTGGCGGGGAAGGGGATGGTAATCTCTACAAACTGAGGTTTTTGGGGGCTGCCAAGCGAGTAATTATTTTCAGTGTTACTGGGCTGTAGGGAGAAGAAGGGAAGAACAGTGTCTAAATTACACTATTCAGACCTCCTCCTTAGTTCTCTAAAAAGTGCGTGTTTAAAGAAAATCACTTGGGTGCCAAAAGTGGTGTAGGTGTTGTGGGGTGAGGATATCTTTTTAAAGTAATACTTTTTTTAGAAAAAAAAAAGGGAGAGTGTGTGCAAGGCATCCCCTGCCTCACTCTCCTCTTTTCCCCCAGACCTGCAATAGCAGGGGCATACCAGTCTGGTGCATATTATAATGAAATATAAAAAGTTCATTCCAGCCCTGACCGGTTTAGCTCAGCAGTTAGAGCATTGGCCTGTGGTCCCCTTCAGTTCCCACTAAGGGCATGTACCTCTGTTGCAGTTTGTCCCCGGCTCTGGTAGGGTCGTGCGGGTGGCAGCCACTCGATGCAGTCCCTTTCACATCGTGGTCCCTTTCACATCTATGTTTCTCTCTCTCTCTCTCTCTCTCTCTCTCTCTCCCCCCCTCTCTCCCCCTCCCTCCCTCCCTCCCTCCCACCCACCCTATCTGAACAAAAAATGTAAAAATGTCCTCGGATGAGCATGAAAAAAAAGTTCATTCCATTTTCCACTGGTTAACTAATTGGTCAATTTATTTGATGTACTGAGTGGTCTACTTGGTAAGAAATGGTTCAACTAACTGTCTAAGATTTTACTGTGTTCTGGAGTTTCACTGTAATGCACTTAGAACTTATTCTGGTATGAGAAAGACAAGAATCTTTTTACTTCATTTCTCCAAGACATCCCAATACTGCTTCGGAGCCTTTTTACTACTCTTACCTTCCCTATACAAAGTTTTGGTTTATTTTAGGAAACAATCTGGTTTTTCATACATCTAAGACACACCTCATGCCTGTGAAAAGTCTACACCTGCTGAGAAATGAATTTACTTTGCAAGTTAAAACAGATTGAAGAGGGAACACTTAAATTTGTTATGGGGAGTCAGAACTAACGTTTATCAGCTGCAACAAATCAACTTTGGGTGGTTTTCTGAGGCAATATGAAAGAAAGAGAAGTTGCTGCACAGCCTGTTGGAAATATAACAAATGACCCTAGTGAAGTGAAGTATATATTGTCATCTGATAGATTGGAGTATAAAGCAAATTAGTGGGAATAATTAAAAAATGTGTTGGTGATTTGTTTTTGTTTTTTTAAGCTGGTATGCATTGAGGGAGGAAGGGATTCTGAATATTGGTAGGTGAACTAGTTTGAAGGTATGCTTCCATGTTATTCTCAAATGTCATTTTTGTGAATATAAACTACACAAAGGGCAAGTAGTGTTTATGTTTAGCCTGTGGAAGGGAGGCAGGGGTTCTGAAAAGATTGAGAAACACTTATTAGGTTACACGAGGGAAAACAGGAAGATTGGCAGGCTTAGTTCATTTTGAAAGAAGCAACGCACCTCAGTGACCTACAGGACAAGGTTTTATTCTCTGATTCAATAAAAGCCCACTAGTGTTGCTTTCAAAGCAACAACAAAATCATTTCCTTCCCATCCTTTCTGTCCCCTGGGTCAGGCATGGGGAGGATGGAGAGTGAATAAGGGAGATTAGAGCCCGACCTGCATGCCTAAGCAGTAGTGTCCTTTGAGCAGGATCTGTGTCACATTGTGTGAATATAAGAGCCTTCACGCTGAGAAGAGTCTGAGCACCTTCCCTGGGACACATGCTGTAAGATAGAGCTGAATAGCACTGCCACAGGTGGGGGCATGGGTGAGATCATCTGATAGAGAAGCACTGGGGGCAAAGGAGAGGCAGGAAATGTTTAATTCAGTGAGGCTCTGCTGCTTGCCTTTGGAGCCTTGAGGAGGCATTTCCAGGCAGAGCTGCCTCATTTATTGGCTAGCCTGGCTGGGCTTTACATGACTTCCAGAAGACCTGTGTTTCACGATGAGTCTTCTGTGGAGGTTCCATGCTCAGGTTATAAGTGTCAGTTGTGTTTGTAATGGGCTGTAGAGAAGAAAGGCTCACAAAGACATCTAGGCTGCCGTTCTTTCAGGTCCTTGGCTCATGTCACCCCTTCCAGAAAACAAGTTCTGCTGTCCTTACCAGTAGATGGCACTGCTGCCTCTGGGAATTCCTGGAGAAGATGAACTATGAAGCTGGCAAACCAACAGTGTGTAGCTTCTAGTCTAGATTTTGAAAGGCTGTGTCAGCTCTTAGTCAGAGAATCTTAAAAAAATAAAAAGTTCTGAAAGCCAGAACTATTTATGTAAGGTAGGAATAATGTGTTGTGGGGAACTGAGGAATGGGTGTGATGACTTTGCTGGTTGTGTGTGTGTGTCCTAGGGGAGAAGGCAGAGGGTAAACTGACAAGCATCATAGCACAGGTTTTGAAAGCATGTGGCAGACATCTTGTAGGTTAATTGAATGAGGTTGAAATCATGATTAGACCAGAATTCCCAACAATTTCATAGTTACTAATTCTTTGCATGTAAAACTAGTCTACACACATGGACTGTAGAAATATACATGACTTTTAAGCCTGATCAATATCTGATCATTACCTGCTCTGAAGATAGTGGTGAGGGTATTAGTAAAAACAATGCTGGTTACTATGCTTCGTGGCTATCCACAGAAGGTAGGCCAAAGTTATTCTGAATCAGTTTCTTCTTAAAATACTTGTTAGAAATTTTTAAGTTTTAGATTTTCTTAGTTAATGTTGTCCTTTCAAGATTGTAGTAACAATCCAAATCTTAAACTTCTGTTTTACTGACCTTATTAGCCAGAGTTCATGCATCCATTCCCCTCTTTGAAAAAGTTATTCTTTATTCTATGCAATTGATTGCCCTTTGAAATGGATTTTGTAGCCATGATATTTGAGGGAGGTGGGTGCTGTTGCCAGTGACGTTGCAGTGTCTATGAGAGCCTCAGCTTTGACCCTGTCTAAGGGATATGGCGTTGCTGCTGAGTGTCATCATCCCAGTCACCTGCGTCCTTGTGCAGATCTTCTCCCATAGCTCAGCTTATTTGAGGTTTATTTCTGTCTCTTCAAGTGAACTGATGAGCTGGTTTGTACTACCAATGCCTAATCCTAAAATGCAGCAGGTGCTAGATGGCAGTAGTCACAACAGTCTATTAGCATTGCCTCATTCTGTGACCTCAAATCAATCGTCTTGCCTTTCTGAACCTCAGTTTTTCTCACCTGCACGCTGGGATTGGTGGGTGGGACACGTCTCTTAAAATTTCTTCCAGGTCTAAAATTCTGGCTAGGTGATTCTCGTGAGGTTTCTGAAGCCTCTGAAAAATTCTTACCTAGAAGGTATTTTTATACTGTGAGCCTAGGACAAAAAGAGATCTTGCTAATATTTCTTCTCAGAGAAATGTGCGTTGTCTTAGAATCCTAATAATTCAGAATTGGAAGAAATCCTAGAGATGATTTAACCCAACCTTCGCATTTTATAGACAGGGACTTGCAACTCAGAGCTGAGTGACTTGACCAAGCTAACAGAGCTAGTCAGTGGTAGAGAACTAATTAGAGAATTAGGACCAGGCAAGGACCCGTTCAGTCTTCCCTTCTCCAATGCTGCCTTTCTTCACCTGCCATCAGTGCACAGAATATGCTGTGTGTACAAGGCTGAAGCCAAGAAAATTCTGTGGAATTATTTAATGTAGGATTTTAAAGCCACAACACATAGTATTGAGTTTGGGTAGAAATTCAAGGTCAGTCTTCTTTGTGCAGCTCATTCTTTTCTTCACTGACTGATCCTGAGCAGGATCCTTTACTATGCGTCTTTGGGTTTTCAAACCTTTCCTGCATAAAATTTACTGTAAGAAAAAACTATCGCCCTGGCCGGTTTGGCTCAGCAGTTAGAGCGTTGGCCTGCAGTCCAGAGAGACCCGGGTTTGGTTCCCGCTAAGGGTACATGCGTTGGTTGCAGTTTGTCCCCAGCCCTGGTTGGTCATGCAGGTGACAGCCACTCGATGTGTTCCTTTCACGTCGATTTCTCTCTCTCTCTCTCTCTCTCTCTCTCTCTCTCTCTCTCTCCCTCCCTCCCTCCTTCCCTCCCTCCCCCTCTCCCTCTTCCTCTCCCTCTCCCTCCCTCCCCCTCTATCTGAACAAAAAATGGAAAAAAATGTCCTTGGGTTAGGGTAAAAAAAAAAATTTAAGAGAAAAAACTTTCATCGTCCTAGAAAAGTCATTCCCCAATCATATGTTCTTAAATTGGGTCCATGGACCCTCTGAGGGCTGTGTGGATAGAAGAGTATTTCCGTATAATTGGCTTCCTTTGTAATCATATATATTTTTTCTATACATTTAATACATTATTCTAAGGAGGACCCTAGGCTTCCACAGGTTGCCAAAGGGGCCTGTGGCACAAAAATGAGGTGAAAATTCTACAGTATATTCTGGAAGATTGCCAGGATGGGAGAATTTTTTTTTTTATTAATTAATTTTTGTTACAGATGTTTCTCCTTTTCCCCCCACTGATTCTCCCCACCCTTCCCTCCCTGCCCTGTCCCCAACTTTGTTGTCCATGTCCATTGTTCATGCACACATGCATATAAGTTCTGTGGTTTATCTCTCCCCCACCACCCCCCTCTTCTGGGGATTGTCAGTCTGTACCCCACTTCCACGTCTCTGGGACTACCCCATTCCTCAGACTGTTATGTTCATTATATTCCACAAATAAGTGAGATCATATGATACTTGTCTTTCTCTGTTTGGTTTGTTTCGCTTAGGATGATACTTTCCAGGTCCCTCCTTAGTCTTAAAGGATAAGAGATCTTTCTTTCTTACAGCTGCATAGTACTCCATTGTGTATATGTACCACAGCTTTTTTATCCATTTGTCTACTGATGGACACTTGGGCTGTTTCCAGATTTTAGCTATTGTAAATAGTGCTGCTACAAACATGGGGGTACATATATTCTTCCTGATTGGTGTTTCAGGCTTCTTAGGGTATATTCCTAGAAGTGGGATCACTGGGTCAAATGGCAGTTCAATTTTTAATTTTTTGAGGTAACACCATATTGTTTTCCATAGTGGCTGCACCAATCTGCATTCCCACCAGCAGTGTACTAGAGTCCCCTTTTCTCCACACCCTCGCCAACACTTGTTGTTTGATGATTTGTTGATGGCGGCCATTCTGACAGGTGTGAGGTGATACCTCATTGTTGTTTTAATTTGCATCTCTCTGATGATTAGTGATGTTGAGTATTTCTTCATATGTCTCTTAGCCATTTGTATGTCCTATTTGGAGAGGTGTCTATTTAGTTCCTCTGCAGATGGAAGAATTTTTGAGGTGCTAACGAAATTATGATGGAAGAGGGTTTGGGGATGGACTACAGAAGTAACCTATCGGCTTCTTAGAACATTTTATCCCTTTTTAAATTGCTTACTAAATTAAGATATTAATAATAGCATTTTACCCATCTTAAATTGATAATGGATACGCAAGTATTGATTTTCATTTATCATTTTTTACTCAGTAAGTACTTCCTCCTAATTTCCCCAAACACTCTCCAGTTCACGTTGCTTTATTAGAGGTGACATGCATGCCGAGAGCCTCCCTTCCTCCCAGTCTGGTTAATTTCCGGATCAGTCACTGCCTTTCTGACTTAGGACTCCTGTCTCTCACTTCTGGGGCCCCAGCATTTTACTTTCTAGGACTCACCATGATTTCAGAGATGCAAAATAATTTACATGCCAGGGATAAAAAAAATCATGAGGTTTGTTTGGCCGGTGTTGCTCAGTGGTTAAGCATCCACTCATACAGCAAGAGGCCGCCGGTTCGATTCCTGGTCAGAACACATGCCCAGGTTGTGGGCCAAATCCCCAGTGGAGGAGATGCAGGAAGCAGCCAATTGATGTTCTCTCTCATTGATGTTTCTCTCTCTCTCTCTCTCTCTCGCCCTCCCTCCCTCCCTCCCTCCCTCCCTCCCTCCCTCCCTCCCCCTTCCTCGCTCTCTAAAATCAATAAAGGAAAAAAAATAAAAATCTTGAGGTTTCTTTATTTATCCTAAGGGTTTACCACAGGAACCACTGCTCCTCCTTGGCTAATTATTTTATTTTTTTTCCTGTTTGAACCCCAGGTTCTCTCTTTTTCAAATTGTTCCCAAATAGGAGTGACTCAGAATTTGTATGTATTGAAAATAAAAAATCTTTTTTTTTTTTTTCCTAGAAGATATACAGAAGTGAATTTGTGTTCAAGTCACAATTTGGACAAGTGAGGCATAACTTTGGTGATCACTTCATTGTGAAGATCATCTGCTTGAAAATCTCTTGTCTGTCCTATGACACCTTGCTGACATTTGGTACCATGGTGACCCATGCTGGGGAATGCTACCTTCTGGTACCTTTTTGAGTATGGGCTAGAGTAGTATTTGCTCTTGATTTAGAAGAAGAAGAAACATTTTTCTTTCTTCTTCAGAGGTTGTTGTCAATTGAGTTTATGTAATAATAGAAAAAAGTCAAATTTATGAATCTTGGTGCCAGTACACTGAGTTATTGTGAGATTTGGGAGGCATCATTGACTTCTCTGAGTTTGCTTCCTTCTCAGGAAAGTATAAGGAGAGAGCAGTGACAACTGAAATGCTTTCTAGTTCTACGTCCTGTGACTCTGTGAAATTCTCCTTGGTACCCAGACTAAACATGTCCTAAACATGCTGCCTAGTTGAGAATTCATTTATAATCGTAGTCGGTGCCAGGATGATTCTTTTTTACATCTGCAAACCACTCTGTGGTTTACAAAAATATTTCCTAATTCTTCATCTCTTTTCTACTTGAAGTGTGATCATTGAGCAGCATTGGTATCTTCTGGGAGCTTGTTAGAAATGCAGAGTCTCGGGCCTCGACCAGGACCTACTGAATTGGGATCTGCATTTTGTCAAGATGCCCAGGCACTCAGCATGCACATGAAAGTGTGAAGAGTGCTGTGTCTCACCTCAGAGTCTCCCCTGACCCCCCGGGTCAGTAAGGGAAGCAAGATACTTTTCAGATAAGGAAATCAGGAAACAGACTCAGTTGTTAAGTAACTAACCAGGGTTACTGTGCTAGTGTGTCACCCAGAACTCTGTACTTTAAACCTAATGTCCCTTCTTGGGGTTGGGCTGGAGACAAGCTCGTATAATAGAGACTAGCTACTAACTGCCCAGCAGCCCGTGGACTTAGTTGTGGTCATGTGTCTGACTTCTAGCCAACAGAATGTAAGTGGATGTGCAGAAGCGTTGTGATCCGCTTCTAGGCAAAAAAAAACAGAGAACTCCCATGGGAGTTCCTCCATGCTGATTTACACTCCTAGCAGGCCGGAGTGGAGAGGACCCCCAGGACAAGCTTGGAAAGTGTGTTTTAAAGATGGCAGGACTTTTGTCAGCCTGGGTGCCTAGATCACTGATCAGGGAGGGCCACTCCACCTACTGACCTGTCCACCTGTCTATTATGTGTACAGGGACCAGAAATAAAGTTTTATTGAATTTGAGCCATTACATGTGTTTGGGTCTATGTTAAGCACTCAGCCTATTTTAACAAATTCACTTGAGCAGTGGCTTGGGACTTAAAGTTATTGATCTTTTGGCCTAATGCCATCACTCATTTTTTTTTTTTTTTTTTGGTCTTTGGCAGCTGGTGATCAATCAGTCAGAGTCTAACATGCAGAAGTGAGTGGTGAAAAGCAGCAGAGCTGATGGGTCGTGAGGATGTAAGTGTGTTTGAAGGCTCTCACACCCTCTTCTCCAGGGTAAGTCAGAGGCATCTCTGCCATTGTGTCTCTGGTTTTACTAAGTCATAGAGGTTCTTGTCTCAACAGTTTCTTGGAGTCAGAGCCATGCCCTGCTGTGGAAGGTTCTCAAAACCTTTATTGATTCAGTTCATAGACATAGTAAAAGTCAACAGTTGTAAAGATAAAACCATGATCAGGGTGATGGGCTGGGATCTGTGCATAGAAATATCTCAACACAAACATTTTTAGTGAGTTTGTATGGGAGGTGGTTGTCGGGCCCTCCCTGAGAAGAACGAGGCCTGGCTGTCTCTTTCTTGTAGCCATATCATATTAGCTCTGCTGGCTCGTGTTGCCCTCTCTCAGCGTCCTCCTCCTTCGTGGAGCACTTTGCTTGATTTTGGCCCTTCATTAATCACTTTTTGCTCCAGGAGGGGAACAGCTTACCAGAGAGTTGATTCCAAGTTTGGCAGTTCATGGCACTAGCAAAGCACATGATTCTGCCCATTCCATTTTATTTTATCCAGTGTCACTGGAAGTCACGTGTACATCCCTTCCTCTTCTGTTTGCAGTCCCTAGAGCAATGGCTGTGGGAATTGGGAGCATTATAACCAAAGCTGGCTTTGGATTTTCATTTATGCTGAAGATTTTTGAGACCAGAAGGAGAAATTTACTGTTTGGTACGTCCTTCTCAGAGTCTAGGTGGAGGTCCGGGAAGGAGGGGTGGAAAGACATCATACCTTTCTGAGCTCTCCAGCTTCTGATCTTTAAACCAAAACCAGACTCCTTAAAGAGAAAATATAATTAATACAAATCTAAGCAGAGAGAAGGATGGTTGGGAAAGAGGGACAGGGGTTAAAAGAAATACTCAGCTGAAAAACTGGATGGAGGGTTTCTGAAGCAGCTTAGTTCAATACTGTGGAGCCCCTGTCAGATAATGTCCCATTACCCGAACTCAGACAGAGGGCACCCGGAAAGGCTGTTGTCCTTTGGTACCTCACGTGGCTCAGTAACGAGTACAATTTACTGAACAAAACAGACAATTAGGGGCAGTAGCTCCCTGGAGATTCCCACAAACATATATCATTGCTGTTCTGGAGTGATGCACGTGCTTAGAGACGGGCAGAGTGGGAAAAGGCACCTGCAGAGCCCGTCAGCAGCTGATGATCTAGGTGAGCAGCCAGACACGTAGCTCGGCCGGAGGTAGCTAATGAAAGCACCTGGTCTTTTCCAGGTTTCCTCCTGAAAGGAAAGGAGCTGGACTTTGCTATCTTTCCTCATTTCATCGGTGGCTCCCATGTGCAGTCGTTCCTTCGTACTGTAGGGGATTGTTCCAGGACTCCCTCAGATATCCAAATCTTTGGATGCTCAAGTCCCATATATAAAGTAGTATTGTATTTGCATATGACCATGACCTACATTTGCATATAGGCTATAGCAAGGGATGGCTAGCGCTCTATTCATGTGGAATGAGTGTAGTACTCAGTGCATGGCAAATTCTAATTTTGTCTTTTGGAACTTTGTGGGATTTTTTACCCCCCTGAATATTTTCAATCCGTGGTTGAGTGAATTCGAAGATGTGAAGTCCATGGATATGAAACCCATGGAATCGGAGAGCTGACTGTATCTTCTATTTTAAAAGCAAGTAAAAAGTATAGCATGCCAAAATAGCACTCTACTGGTATGTTTCTGTGCAAATGTTGTCCAAGGATCAAATTGTAGAGAGAATCGTTAATTAATTATTGATTAGGGGGCCAAAGAAAATACTGTTAGAGATGCCAGAGAATCAGGGGTTCCCATTCTCAGCACTGTTGACATTCTGACCTCAGCAGTTTGTTGTGGGGGTCTGTCCTGTGCATGGTAGCATGCTTAGCAGCATCCGTGGCCCCTCCCCACTGGATGCCAGTAGTGCCCCCTCCACAACCATGACAATCAACAGTGTCCTCAGAAGTGGCCAAATGTCTTTTGAGCAGAAACATTGCCTCTGGTTGAGAACTACTGCTGGAGGAACACAGTGATTTAATCTTGCTCTGAGTTTCCCTGGGACTGTATTTGAATCATTTCACCTCATTTTGCTACAGCTTCCCTATGTGTACAATAGACACTATTAATAACTCAGTAGCCTAAGGCAGTGATGTACAAAGATCACTGTGTGACTCCGTGGGAGCTCTATAAATGCTAAGGAACAATACCTGGCTCCCCAAATTCCCAGGACCCAAGGATCCCTCTTGATTCTGTGAAGGCAGTAATTGAGGAACAGTGGAGTCTGAAGAAGGGCAGGGGGTCAGTGGTATGGAAAGTGGTGAACAGACCTGGATTCTGATTTTATTTGAAGGCTTCATGTTCTAGTTTGTTGCAACAATATATTCTGGTTGAAGGCTTTCTTTTGGAAAGTTCAGAAATGGGAGCGTGGAGGAGGCAGAAAGAGGGCTGTTCAGAAGGGCAGTGAAGGAAATTACTCTTGACAGGGTGGTCTTTTCATGCTAAAGAGACTCCTGTATAATTACACCAAAGGATGTGAAGAAGTAACCCCCAGAAGAAAAATATCCTCCCAGATGATGACTGATCCTAGAATAAGTTTTGCAGGTAATACAATAAAGACAAGAGAATGTTTGGAGAAAACTCTAGAACTTTTACATTGGTTTCTTTTCTTTGGGAATGTGTAAAGGGGTGTCTTCAACATATGCCCTTTGAATGATAAATAAAATGTTTTAATATGACATGTGTTTTGTTGATACTCTTATATTACTCTGTGTTGGAATGGTGAAAGAGCCTGACCTAGACCTGAAGTCTTATGTTATTTCAACAGAAAGCCTCACTTTGACTCTCAGGCAGGCCAGAGCAGGGATTGGCTGTAAACTGTCCTGATAGGTTTGAATTCAGCCTTGCTGAGTTTCTGGTCCCTGTAATGATTAGACATACTCAGAAAATTTGCAACAAATTTGCTCTGGTGAGTTGAATGTGTCAGAAGCCATCTTACACAGTCTTGTTTTTTAAATTCTATCATACATTTAGAGTCACAGGCTTTAAGGAAACCCTAGAAGAGTGTTTGAGAAGGATTCTGTGTGCCCTGAAGAAAGAGGCACTTGAGTATAACAGAAAGAAGCTCCAGATGGATAGAGGTGGGCTGGGGTTTGAATGTCGTGTTTTCATACTAGTGATACTCGGAGATTGCCCCTGGACTGTGAGCTTCAGAGTCACCTGGGTACTTGTTTGAGCTGGTTAGACCTACTGGATCAGCATTTCTGGGGGTGAGCCTAATACTCTGTGTCTTAATAAGACCCCCAGGTAATTCTGCTTGGCTCAGAAAGTTGAGAAGCACTGCTCTCCTGGTTTCGATGTAGTGATATCTTAATGAATTGTGTGTGAGGTGGGGAGGGTACTGAGAAAGTATTTTTCTGGGTGGACAGAAGATATGTAAGATTTTCTTGTGATAACCTCTTAGATCATTGTCCCAAACCATGATGTAAGCCTTTTCCTGCATTGTCCAAGATGGGAGCCACTAGCCACATGGGTCTATTCTTATTTAAATTAATTAAAATTTAATAAAATTAGAAATTCAGTTCTTCATTTGCACTAACCACAGTTCAAGTGCTCCGTAGCCACATGTGGTTATTAGATAGCACAGAGCATGTCCACAGTTCTGTTGGACAGCATTGCTTTAGTGTGTAAGGACTTATTTCATGGAAACCCAAATTTGTAGTGATAGCGTGCTCTCGTTATAACAGGACCTCAACTCATTTTAAACAGAATTGCGTTTTGGACGGCTGCATCCTGGGGAGCCTTTTTGTCTGTGAATGTGTCTTGCTGAACCTTTTACCTCACTCTGCAGCATCTGTTTGTTGCAGAAAGTGCCATGAGCCTATCTCTCTGACATGATCGAGCGGAGTGCCTCTAAAATATTTGCCCTTTAATCCAAGGCTGCTGAGCTGTCTCTTTCCATTTGGTCTCTCCATGCCCTGACCCTTGGTGGTGAAGCTTGTTTGTGCAGTATGTCTCTCTTGATACTGCCTGGGACTTAACAAAGAGTCTGGAGAGGTGGTGAGAGAATTCTCACCTCCCCTTCTTCCAAGTCCCAGCGTGACTCAAAAAAGTGTTTCATAAGAGGGTATTAATTCAGGAGAGTAACCTCTGAGGAATTATCCCAAAAGGAGTTAGTCTCTAAAGCAAATTTTCCAACAGACATATTACAGCACAAATTTAGTAATTAAGTCCTTGAGCAACATGGAAAAATTTTTAGTTGATGTTATCTATTATTACTACCAATATTAGTTGCTCAGAAACTGTCATAATTAGAACAGATATGGAAATAAAGACCATTTTTATTTTTTTTTAAATCCTCACCCGAGGATATCTGTCCATTTATCTTCAGATAGAGTGGGGGAGAGAGTGAGAAACATCAATGTGAGAGAGACACATCGACTGGTTGCCTCCCGCACGACCCAACCCGGGCCGGGGATAAAACTGCAACCAAGGTACATGCCCTTGACTGGAATCGAACCCATGACTCTTTGGTCCGAGGGCCAACACTCTTACCACTGAGCCAAACTGGCCAGGGCTAAAGATCACTTTTAAAAGATGTAATTTAAATCTATCTGAGCTCAAGATTGTTTTGCATGGTAGAGGGAATGAGAATAAGGAGTTTGTGTGCCATGAGTATAATTGCTGGAGAGGCCGGGAGTGGACGGAGGCTGAGACTGATCCTTGGACAGCCTTTACTCGCTGGCCTCACTTCTGATGGGGTGCATGGTTTGTTCTCTTACTGCCCTCCTCTCTTCAGTTTGCCCCGAATGAGGGTGCTCAGTGTTTTTAAAGGAGTTGCTGTTAGCATTTTGATAGAATGGTTCATCATTTGATAGACTGATTCATCATCATGTGGGAATTTCCTGTCCATTATAGGACATTTAGAATCCCTGCTCACTGAATGCCCATATTACTCTAAGTCATGAGTCAACCAGCATGTCCCCCCATATTTCCAAATACCTGCGATTGAGAATCACTGGCTGCTAGGAAGATGAATG